TCGGGGTCGGAAGTTCCGTCATATTTCTCAATTGGGAGGTTTTTCCAATGATCCATGAGGGTTGTTTCCATTATTCTCCGTGAAAAGGGATGTCTTAGGGAATGGACGGTGGTTTCGGCCCTGTTGGCTACCAATGAGGTGCTCGGCGTTCGAGTTACCGGCTCAGTCGGGGCGTGATAGGCAGATTCTTCCACGGCTGTGGGGGTGGACGACACACAAGTTTGGTTCAGGTTCCGGAGTTCGGCATTCTGCCGCCGTAACTCGGCTAGCTCCCGGGCGTCGGCTTCTCTTTGCCTGCGTATGGTGGCCATTTCTTCCCGCAACGCGCGGAGGTCGTCTTGTAAATTTGGTTGGGTTTGATCAGTATTCGGCTGGACCTGCTGTATCACGGGTTCCGGTTGAGTTTGGGGCATTCCGTACGGGTAACGCTCTTGGTTAGTCATGGCGGGATTGGCTTCGGTATTAACGTTGTGAGTCGGTTGGGTCGTTGTTGATTGTCCTTTACGGGTCACTACCATATCTCGGTCTCAGTCGTAGAGTTAAGAAAGGGGCTGAAAACGTCTCTTCGGCCCCACGGTGGGCGCCAAATGTTCCTGTGTTAGGATACACACTCCAATTATCCTTGTTGTAGTAGGTCTGGTCTTGGGTCTCGGTCTGGTCTTGGGTCTCGGTCTTCTCGTTCAATCTGGGTGGTCCGAAGCGAGGGGGGGGGGGTGCCTGCAAAGACACTCCAACGCTCAAGTAAGTACTCGGCGTAATAAATGCGGTAGGTCAAAAGTAGTTTCGTACCTCTCAGGAGTTCTATTTATAGGTGTTCGTGTTGGGCCGTGATTATGGGTTGGGCCCCGGGAAATTAGGGGACTGATCCGAAGTTTATGCTAATTAATTTATCCGTAATTAAGCCGGTAATGATGTTGACCTTGGCCGACCGTACCGATAAGTTCCGTACATTCGTGTGGGGTCGGTGGTGTCGGGTACTCGGCGAGTTCAGGTACGCAAAGCGTTCGGATTGCTCGGCCTAGTCGGCACCATACGATATACTTTTTAAGAAGATTCTCAGTAATTCTCCAATTAGAGGCAACGTTCCTATAAATTTTAATGTTTTATAATCGTATTTTTAAATTAAATCAAGGTAAATATACATTATTTATTTCAAAAACAACCTTTTTAAAAAAAATGCCTGGTAAAAAAAAGGAGTAGATATTCAATATTTTAAAAACACTTTAAAAAAAATTCATACTTACTTTGTCTGATAATTTAGAAAATAAATAAATAAGACTTGACTTCGATTAGGACCCTTTTATAAGATAGTGCCAATCAAAATGACATAAGGTGCGCTTGGTTACGCTTAAGAATTTTTTTTATTATTATCATATAAGCTTTTTTTTCTTCTGAAAATTCTTTTCAAACATTCAATGTTTTGCTTTTTATGTTCTTTTAAAGGCTTTCATTAAAAATGGTATCTAATTATTTTTTCATATTTACTTTAATTCCTTGACAAATACTTGTTGACACACATTAAAACATTCATTAATTTTTTTAAAATTAATATATTTAATGAAATTTTTTGTCCTTGTACTAAATTAAAATATATTCATTAATTTGTAGGATTAAGTTAAACTTAAATTTATTATTCTAAAAATGTCTTTAAAAAATAAGATTAAATAAGTATATTCTATTTATACATTATTATGGATTAATTTCAAAACAAAAGAAATATTAATAAAAAATAAAGAAGTTAAGCTTTACCGTTCGTATGTATAAAAAACTAAAAAAAAATTAAGAAAACTTATTATTTAAAATAGTAGAATTTCAAATTCTCCCAAAAAAGTAAAAATTTGAAATTATTCATATTTTTTTTCTTATTTCACTTATATATTTTATCTTATCTCTTATCTCTTCCTATTTTTAATCATTGAATACTAACAAATATTTTTAAAATTATTAAATATTATCTAATATTAATTTTTAAAATTATTAAATATTTAAAAATTAACTAATATATATTTTTATAAAATTTAATTTAAAATTTTTAAAGTGAATAATTTTTTAAAATCAATTTTACAATGGTGGAATCAAATTACCATATCCAAAACTAACAATTTAAAATTTAAGAAATTTTGAATAAACTTATCAAAACAAGATATTTTAAAAATGATGAAAATTGAAATCAAAGTTTTTTAAATATCAAGAATTTTAAATTCCTAAAATTTCTAAAATTTCTCATCCAAACACACTATTAATTAATTTTTCTTTAATTTTTTTAATCTAAAAATTTAAGAGGCATGAAATATCTCTTTTCCTTACTAGTATATTTTTAAGGAGGGATCATCTTGATCCAAGAATAAATTTTAATATACTTACTTTACTCAATAACTCATAATCTATATTGAATTCTAATTATTCATCTGTTGAATTAAAATTTCTTAACAAATAGATCAAATATAAAATTCTTTTATAAAATTTAAAAATTATTTGGTACTTTAATGTATATATTCAAATTAACATAAAATATACTTTTATGAATAATCGTTAATTTAAATTAATACAACGAAGTATTAAATAATTTTAAAATTTTATACACTTAATTTATTTATTAAAATTTTTTAATTTAATAATTTGATCGTTTAAATTTAATATAAATTATAAGTTATTGAATAAAATAAGTTAATATAT